GAGGAGACCCAGCCGGGCCGGGTGGTACACGCATTGCTCCCATGAGCTGGTTTGCTGCCCCCACGAAGGGGTCTTGGCTGCCCTTACCTTGGGGGTGCCTGAACCTGCCCAGACTGTGGGAGGGAGTGACACAGCGGGGGCTGTGGTGGCTCCTAAAAGTGGAACCGTGCTCTTGCCGCTGCCCTTCACAGCCTGAGCTTTCCACTGCTCATTGAGCACTCAGCTCTGCCACAGCTGCCCCTGTTGCCGGGACTCAGAGCCCCCCGAGCAGCACCCCTGCCCATGTGGGAGCGGCTGCGGGGCCAGCGCTGGGCACTGCTGAGTGCTGTCAGGCCCTGGTGCCTGGCTTTGGGTCTCCTGTGCTGGTATCCTCAGCTCTGGTGGGAAACTGATTGCGAAGGTAAGTGAAGGCTGTGAGAGAGGCAAGGAGCTGGGGTTTGGTGTCGTTAAAGGTTCTTGGGCAGCAGTGTGACCCAGGAGTGCCACACGGTAACTTCAGTTGTGCTGTTTACCCGTGCAGGTCCAGACATCAGATCTCACGTGAGTTTCGAATCTGGCAAGCTGGTGCTCAGCTGTAACATGAGCGTGTCGCACCTTGCCATCGAGGGCCACGAGTGGGTGCATGGGGACAAGACCCTGCAGACGGACACGGAGTCGACTACGTTCACCAGCTACACGTGAGTGTGGGGCAGGGGCAAACTGGAGTCTGGGCGTGGGATGGGTGTTTTACCAGCTGAGGTCAGGGCTTGCTGCTTGCTGAGCCCAGAGCTTGCAGTGTTGCTGCAAATGTAGGCTTTTAAGCTTGGGAACGTGAGATGAGCTAAACCAAGTTTTAGTAAGGCCCAACTTTATCTCCTTTATGGGGAGGAGGAAGGGAGATGCCACAAATCCTCTTAAGATGTTCTGTGTCTTCATGTTTCACGTTCAGCAGTGCTCGGTCGGTTTGCCCGGTGCAGTGTGGCTGTGTCCACAGCACAGGCGTTGTTGTGCTGGGGCTGCTCTTGAGGGTCTGAGGGACCCCTGCTCCCCAGAACCTCCAGTGTGCACAGCTCTGCGCCTGTCCAGAGTGCACCCCTTCCTGCAGAACGAGCGGGGAAGCTGCCTGTGAGTCACGACCGGTGCTCAGGCGCCGTTCGTAGGGCGCAGCTGAGCAGAAGGGCAATAGCGGCCGTATTGTGGCAGTGCAGCGAGCTTTCCTTTCCGATTACGGTCAGGGCTGGCTGGCAGTGACCCAGCAGCTGTGGAGGCATCATGTCCTTTTGTACGGCAGTGCCGACGTGCCTGTCTCCCCATAGCAACAGGGAGCTGAACAAGGATTAAAGTATTTATAACCCAGCCTCCCTCGCGTGACCTCAATTCCTTCGCCGAGTCGTTTTTGGAAGTGGGAAGCGCCATGCACAGCAGAGGCTGACAAACAGCTCCTTGTCCCATTGCAGCCGTGGGACCGAAACTTTGCCTGCCCCTTCCCGCGGGTGGGTATTACCGAGCCGCAGAATGGGATGTTTGTGCAGTGCGGCGTAATCCACTAAATCTCATTGCAGCAGCTTTACAAGGAGGAAAACAGCAGAGTTCTCCCCGTGCCTGGCTCAATGGTGAGGAGCCTGGCCTGGCTGCGTCCTTGCTGTGTGTTCAGAGTTGCCTGCCCCTGGCCCTGCTGTCCTGGTGGAGGTGACCATGGGGCTGTGTCCTGGCTGTGCTGATCACAGGACCCTCTCATGCTTCTTTCTGCTGGTTCTGCTCACTGGGGTGTGATGTTTAATGGGCCGTGGTCTGTGTGGGAGAGGGGGGACTGTGGTATTGGCCACTCCTGGGGCGTACCTGTGGCTCTGCACCCGGCGGTGGTGGTGCATCCTCGTGCTCCTGATGTCCCTCTGTACCAGCAGCAGTCTGGGTCTTGGGTTCTCTTCCCTTTGTAGAGCCCCTGATGACGAGAGGTTCTGTGTTAGGGAGTGAAAGCTGCCGGTTTTCAGGATTCGGGGTGCAAGGTCTCTAATCGCAGATGTTACAGACCCATATCAGGGTTGGTGTACACGAAATCCTCCTGGGCCACCCTCGGTGTGAGGAGTTGGTTTGTGCTGTCTGTGGATAACACTGTTGTGCTGAATGTTCCTCTGACGCCCTGGTTTCTGCAGAATTGAGGGGAAGATGGAGGAGCACTCTGGCGTCTACGAGTGCGTCTACAAAACGAGCCCGATGATAAAAGGACAAGTGAATATTTCAGGTAACTTCATGTGTTTGCTTCTGGGTGAAACTGTGATCTCCTGAGCGCTTTGCTTTGGTAACCCTTCAGCTTCTTGAAATGCTGCTGCTAGCCCTCGTTAATGAGCTGCAGGACTCTGAGTGCGATCAGACGTGCTCTGAGGCAGCTCTGTTTTATCAAAGGCTGAAGTAGGGTCTGTAGGGTCAGCTCTTAGACTCTGCGTTAAATCAGCCTCCGCTGTGGCTGTGCTCCCACCAGAATAGTGGGAGAGGGCTGATACCTGATAGACAAATCTGAGCCTTTCTCAGAGCAGCTTAGCGTGCTTTCCCTTCCAAAAATGCCAAAAAATTGGCAAGTACGGGGAACAGACCCACTAATGCATTTCTTAAACTGAAGTCAGGCTTTATGGGTAATTTTAATTCGAGCTAGGTGGACTGCAGGGAGTACAGTTCCTCATCTTTTCTACAATGCGGTGTCTTCCCTGTTTCTGCTGCAGTTCCACCGCAAGTGATGGCGTACAAGAAGTCTGAGCACGGGAATGAGGGGGACACGGGCGTGCTGACCTGCAAGAATCCCTCTTTCCCCCCTGTCATCACTTGGGCCTGGTACAAGAACGGGCAGGAGGTAAGTGCTGGGGTTTGCTCTCTGCACCCCTGCATCCCAGCAGAGGGGTGTTGGACCTCATCCCGTCAGCATCAGCTATTTCAGAGCAGCCTCCTCGGTGCATGGCGAGGATTCCTGTAGCGGCAGGACGTGGTGGTGAGTGCTCTCCCTCCCCGCAGGCCATCGTCAACGGCTCGGGGCGGTACATCATCAAATCTGGGGACAACAAGACGGAGCTGCGCATCCTGAAGCTGAACACGGAGGAGGACGCGGGTGACTACCACTGCAACGCCACCAACTCCTTCGGCCTGGGCAGCGCCACCGTCAACCTGCGCGTGCGCAGCCGCCTGGCCGCGCTCTGGCCCTTCCTGGGCATCGTGGCTGAGGTCCTCGTGCTTGTCACCATCATCTTCATCTACGAGAAGAGGAGGAAGCCAGATGAGGTTCTCGATGGTAAGAGTACCCGGGGTTAAGTCTTTCTGGGGAGACCAAGTGACTTGTAGGGTGCAGGCAAAGTGTTCACACAGAGAACAGGGGTTCCCTTAGTCAGATGGGCACTAATTCAGGGACTGCTTCCTCAGGGCATGTCTTGTGAAACCGTGGTTGTGTTGGCCAGGCAGCTGTAGCTATGAAGCTGTGGGTAATTGCAGGTTCTGGTGGTCCTTCCTCAAGCTGCGCTGTGGATCAGAGCGAGACCTGGAGGTGTGGGCCTGACCCCATCTCCTCAGCTCCTCTGCACTTTGCTCGAGTGCTTCACCGTGTCTGAGGACTGGGTTTTGTTTGGCAGCTCTGGAGAGGCTGATTTGTGAGCAGGGAGCAGAGCTTTTCTAGTGCTGCAAAACCGGGGCTGTGTCAGCTGCTCCATGAGACCGCGCTGAGCTCAATTCGGTTCAGATCTGTTTTGGGTCCACGCATCCTGACTCCTGCGGACTTCCTCCTGTTATCTTTAATCTGTGGTGGAAATACCGGCTCCTCCCTTTCCTTATCAGCAAGAATCTGCATTGTGTTAGCGACCGCCCGTGCCTTATCTGATCCTGGTAACAATGCAGTGCAAATGCTTGGTGTCCTGCTGGGATGGTCCCGGCCAGGGAGCAGCACTGGGTGGTGTGAGCGGAAACCGGGACGAAACAAAACATCCCAAAACGTCCCCCTGAAAACAAAACGTCCCCCTGACTGCGGGTGGGGGGAGTTCTGCCCAAGGCAGCCTCGGAGCAGGTGCTTTCTCCTCCACAGCTCCTGTCTGGAAGGAGGTGTCCTTCTAAGGATGTTGTGGCTGCATCTCCAAGCAAAGCGTTATAGCGTGTGTGTGTGCCTGGTCGATGCTGGGTGCGACCTCTCGGAGCTGCAGCAGATGCCCCAGCAGAGCAGGATGGGGGCTGTGTGATGGGGCGTCCTGGCCAGGGCTTTTAAGCTCCAGTTCCAGTGCTTGTGGATGAGCTCAGTGCCCTGCCCCTGGTGCACACACAGCTTTATACTTCTGGTGTGAAGAGGCTGTCTCTCCAAAAGCCTTTGTAGCTTTGCCCCTCTTGAGAGGAGGTGACGGCGCAGCATTGCTGAGCCAGCTCAGACAAAAACTGTTCCTTGTGGCGTGTGGTTGTGAATTGGCTGCTCTGTTACCTGGGCTGGCAGAGTCCGTCTGGTATGGAGTGTGATGTCTTCTGGTGTTACCTTTCCACTCTTCCCTTCTTTGCTGCTGGGTGCCGTCTTCCATGGTGAGTAATGATGGTCCAGCCGTGCTCCTGCATCCATCCTCTCACCAGCTGCACACAGATCCTGGTGCCCAAGGCAGACCCAGTGCTCGGAGCCTTCAGTGGGAATGGGCAGCCTTCAGTGGGAAGGTGCAGACTGAAGGAGCTGGTGAAAGGCTGCAGAGCTTGGCTTGTGTTGGCAGAGGTGTTCCTTAGCTGTGCTTCTCGGTGTGTTAATGTGTTGTGTGGTGTTTGCTTTGGTTACAAAACGTGTGGGGAGGAGGAAAGGCGCAAAACTGCCGATGTTTAGAGCCCCGTTCCCCACACCTCCGTGCAGGTCCCCCTCTGTGCGCTGTTGCAGCCCATGCTGGGGTTGGAGCTGGGCAAGTTGGTGGTGCAGGAGGGGGAAGATGCAGGTGGATGGGTGACGGCTGAGCTGTCCCCAGGAGGGTCTGTGGCTCCTCCAGTTCAGCCTGGTGCTGACGATCCACAGTTAAACATTACCATGAGCAGTGTTTAACGTTACCAGTGAGCAGCGCTGCTGGACACTGCCCGGATGCCTCCCTGTGCTGCTCTCCCTCTGAGCCCCCAGGGTGGTTTTGGAGGTGCCCCAGGGTTCCTGAGGTGCCAGCCCTGTTCGGTGGTGACTTGGTCACCCTGTGAGCTGAGCCTCCCCTGTGCCAACAGACGCAACTGCGTAACAGGAGCTTATGTCTAAGTTTGTGCCTGAGCTTAGACCAGAAGCAGCTTAAAGCGGGGGGCGGTGGTGTTTGAGCAGTTGCCCCCTGCTCTGCCAGTGCTGGCCGAAACAGGAGCCCTGCAGGCGAGGTGACCTTGCGGGCGCTGCAGCCACGGTGTCCAGTGTTCCCATAACCTGTCTGGAATGCCAGTCCCCAGGGTGTGAGAGGCTGCAGAGATCACTCCTGACGTGCACTAACGCTGTTCTCTCTCTTTCTGTGCTGTCCTGAATGCGAAGATGATGATGGAGGTTCTGCACCTCTGTAAGTACCTCGCTTTTCCCTATTTACCCACATTTGTGCTGGCGGGTCAGGGGGAATCTGCTCTGAATGTAGAGGCTGTCTGGTGTGGGAATAATGCGCTGTGGAGGCTTTACCCCAGGGTTTGTTTAACGTGGGCAGTGTAAAACCACACAACTGGGGATGGCTGGGTCTCCACAGCTCTGATCCTGACCCTCTGCTGGGACCCAAATCGCATCAGGGCTGGGGGAAGGGGGGGCTTTGTGCCGTTCTCCTCACTGCCCCTCTTCTCTTTCCAGGAAAAGCAACGCCAGCAACCACAAGGACAAGAATGTCCGCCAGAGAAACGCCAACTGAGCGGGGCCGGGTGAGAGCCATGGGCCAGGGCAGGGCTGTGCCTGGGTGGGGAAGGGAGCGGGAGGAGGAAGCGTTGGGCTCTAAATGAGGGGAAATTCAGGAGTGCCCGGTGACTCCTGCCCTGGAGATGGGTCCCAGCCCATGGCTTTACCTTGGGACAACCTTGGTCTTGTGCTTCTCCATCAGCCCCCATTAGCACAGGGCAGCCGTACTGGGACCACTGGGTAAACGCTGTTTTTTCTGTCTCTCCTGCCAGGTGATGCGTAGATGAAGAATTCGTCTGGACAATTTTGTTTTCTTCTAATTTTTTTTTTGGTAAAATAGCACCATGGAATATTCTAGTGTGTCCTTGCGATTCAGTTACTTCACTTTCTAAAGAAACTTTAAGTTGTAGAATCTAAAATACACTTCTTTTTTTTTTAAAGAGTTGTGGGAGGGTTTTTCTACCTGTAAATGTAAGCCCCTTGTCTCTGATAGTCTAGGTCACTGGCTATCTCTGTCCTCGGTGTCTTTTGCAGGGCAGGTGGTGGGAGCACAGCTTGTTCCTCTGGGAAGGACGGGGGGTGTTGGCTGTCCCCTCGCCCCAGCTCAGAGTCTGAGGCCACTCAAGGAGCTGTGGATGAGACCTGAGCACGCCTGAAGTGTGCGTGGGTCCTCACGCACGGCTCCAGGGATGTTGCTGCCGCTGCTCCCTGTCCTGCCCAGTTGGTGTGGCTTGGGAGGAGCTGCTGTGCTGACCCCTGGGGACGGCGCGATTGGCTGCAAGGCTTTGGGGGGCCATTCTGTGCCCCCCCCAGGGCAGCTCCTGGAGCTAGGCCCCCCTTTCCCTGGTGTGGGAGCCACATGGTCCTGTGAGCGGCTGGGCCAGGGCCCCCAGGACTGCGGGAGGAGCCAGTGCAGGGCCCGTTCCTTGATGGGTGCCAGCACCGGACCCGCACCCAGTGCCAGTCTGGGTTGGGCAGATTCTCAGTCAGCTCCAGAGCTGCTGGAGTCACCCAGGAGCAGCATTAGAGCTGGGTACTGGGTACAAATCATGGCTGTTAGATTGCTCCGTGGCTGGTAGTCTCCTCACATTGCCACAGGGGGTAGGGGCAGAGCAAAGGGCTGCGGTGCTGAGGCCGTGGGACAGCATGGGCTATTGGGAGCCAGCGGTGTTTGCGTGATGGGAGCCTGAGAGCAGCTGAGGGCTCAGTGCAGTTGATATCTCCATTACTGGGTAGCGTCGAACTGTCCATCTGTTAACACACTTCACAAATAAAGATGATTCCTCTCTCTCTTTTTTTTTCCACCTCTGTTTGGACTCTAGTCTCTTCCTGCTGGCTGTGCCCTGGGGTCGCCTCATTGCTGTGTCTTCAGGCTGTGTCTCGGGTCTGTGCCAGCTCTGGCTGTGCTTTAATCTGAGGATTTGCAGCTGGAGAGGTGTTCAGGCCTTTGTAGAGGGGGACAAGCGGTCACCGGGGCACACATCTCTGGGCACAGGAGTCCCCTTGCCCTGTACCACCATCGGTGTGTCATGTGGCTGTGTGGTGATGGACCAGCCCTAACCTCTGGAGCCCTTGCAGGGTCCAGTCCCCTGTAGGGGACTGTAAAGGTATGAGATGTTTGTGTACAATGTGGTGCCTGGGGAGGGGATGGGGGATGTGGTGGGGGTCCCTTTCCTGCTGCCAGCCCTGGTCGGAGCTCTGCTTCTGCCAGTGCTTGGAGTGAGGTGTAAGGGCTGGAGGTGAGCCCCCCATGCACCCCAAGGTGCCCCTGCCTGGTCCCAGTGGGTGCCTCGTCCCTCAGCCTCACTGTAGCCAGGTACCAACCAAACAGTTCAGGGGCACTCAGGACTCTGAGTCAGATCAGGGCTGTGATCCTGAGCCGTGCCTGAAGACGATGACCACAGAGCAGCGGCGGGACC